TCTTTTTACTGTTATGACACTGTGTTGTCAAGCTCCCAGATTACTGTTTTGAGTTTCTTTGTTGCCTGCTGCTACAAGGGGAGGCAGGGCACTGTGTTCTTAGAGGGAAACGCTGCTGTAAGAATTAACTAACACATTTGTGGGCCCGGATAGCTCAGTCGGTAGAATTAACTAACACCTGCATAGTGATCAGTACATAGTCAGTGCTCGTCGTATAAGGAGAATATTCGTTAAGAGTTCAGGCTACTGGAGCCAGATAGCCTGGGTTCAAATTCTAGTTGCACCACTTATTTATGTAACTTCTTCATCTGCAAAATTGAGGTAAGGAGATCATCATCACAGGGTTGTCGTAAGGAAGAAATCTATTAATATTTGTAAGGAACTTAGTACCAGGTACACAGTGGGGACTAGATAATTTTAAGCTCAAGTTCAGGATTCCCTGTTCATTACTGTTGTACAACAAGAATTTGGTCTTTAAAAAAATACTTTATTTATTTGAAAGGGATAGTGACAGAGAACGCCCATCCGTTGGTTTACTCTCCAAATGGCCGTATCAGACAGGGCTGGACCAGGTCAAAGTCAGGAGCCTGGAACTCCATCTAGGTCTCCAATGTGGGTGGCAGGGCCCCAAGCACTTGGGCCATCTTCTGCTGCTCTCCCAGGCACATTAACAGGGTGCTGGATAGGAAGCTTGAACTGGCACTCTGATATGAGATGCCCAGGTCACAGGCAGCAGTGTCACAGGCAGCAGCTTAACCTGCTGCACTACAACGCAGGCCCCTGGCTAGTCTTTGCTTATTGTTGCCCGGTGGGGGCCTCTAAACTCTTAAAAATTTCATGAGTGACAAAGTAAGTTTTGTTATTCATGGTGGGCTGACAGTTTATGCTAACAGGTGAGTCAAGGCAGACCTCTAGTTTATGCTGAGATGACTCAGGCTGTGGGTTGAAAAGCCAAACACAATTAGGAAGTTGAGGCACTGAGGCCAGCATTGTGGAGCAGCAGGTTTAAGCTGCCAATAGCAAAGACGGCATCCATTATCACAGTGCTGGTTCAAGTGCAAGCTGCTCGACTTCTAATCCAGAGTCCTGTTAATGTGCCTGAGAAGGTAAGGAAGATAGCCCCAGTACTTGGATGCCACCCAGGTGGGAAACCAGGATGGAGTTCCAGGCTCCTGGCTTCCTTCTGCTTGGCAGGGACCTGGCTGAACCAATAGATGGAAGAGTGCACATGCTCTCTCTCTCTCTGTCACTTTGCCTTTCAAATAAAAATAAATCTTGAAGAAAAAAAAAGAAAGTTGGGAGCTTCAGGTCATAAGATATAAGCCCAAATTTGGGGGACAAAGGGGAGTAGAGATTGAGTTTATCATGCGGTTAATGATCCAATCAAACATGTCTACATAATGAATCCCCAATAAAAAATCCAGACACATGGGTGAACTTCACTGGTTAGCAATACTCTGCACACTGTCACAGTGACATACCAGGAAGGTAACACATCCTGAATCCACAAGGAGAAAACAAGCTATCTCTGTTTTGGGACCTTCCCAGACCTTGCCCCCTGCCATCCCTCCCTTCTTCTCGTTTGGATTTGCATCCTTTTGCTATGACAAAACTGTTAAGCACAGTGCTATCCTGACTTTTGCCAGTCATCCTAGGGAACTGTGGAACCAGAGGGGATCTTGAGAACCCCTGGTCAGAAGTGAGAGCTGCTCTGGGAACCCCCAAAGTTGCAGCTGATGTCTGGAGAGCAGGCTTGCAGAGGCCTGGGCCCTTAACTTGTGAGGATTGGCCTAACTCCAGGGAGAGCTATCAGAAATCATTGAGGTGCCATGTGATCCCCACCCCAGACCCTGTCTCAACCCTTCCTCAGTATCTCCTCTGAAGACAATCAGCAGCATTGTTCTACCTGCTGAACCTCGATCTAGGGCAGACCCACTCATATAACAGACAAGACTTCCAGGCCCTTGGCTAATGAAGCCTGCTCTCTGACTAGCTCTCAATGGGAAAGGAAGCTAAGTTGGACTCCATGCTCCTACTTCTCATGTGCAGGTAGGCTCTTGCACATATACACGCATGTATATGTAACAGCTCTGCTCCTTCCTACCCTCTAAATATAGACATAACCCAAGATTCCATCTTTCAATTCTGTGCAAGTAATTCCTACATTACTATCTCTAGTTCTGACCTCTTCGAACCCCTGAAGTCCAGGTTTTAAGGTCTGACTGCCTGTTGGGTATCTATTGATTGGCCTAGAAATATCTCAATCTAAACACGTCTGAAACAGTTAATCAATGTTTAAAGCTCTCATCTGGCTAACTAACCCTCCTTGGATATATCTGTTGTTATTCGGGGAACGACTATTGCCTCAGTTGTTTACAGCTTTGCTTTCCAGATTGCGATGCTGGGGGCAGGATCCCCAGGGAGCTTGCTAGAAATGCAGAATCTCAGGATCCAATCCTAGACCTATTAAATCAAAACCTGCAACCTAACAAGATAGCCCAGATGATTGCTATGCATGCAAAAAATGCTTGGAAAACGCTCATCTAAGATAAGTCAACCCTCACGGATTCTTCCTTCACTCTCATGTCTTTGACCATTGCTTTAGTCCAGATCCCCATCAGTTCTTACAGGAACTACAACAACTTCAACGGTCTTCCAGATTCCAAACATTCGCCACTGTGACTCACCTAATAGGCTGTCATCCTTCCTTCCTCAAACATTTCCACTGGTTCCTCATAGCCTGTTAAACCTCCCAACTTAGTAGCCAATAGAATTACTATCATATAGAATGGTTATAATTATCGTATTCAATAAAAATTATTATTGTATGATCATAATGTGCCAGATACTCTATTAAGCACCTTAACCCATTTATTTCACCAAACAACTGCATGAACCAAGCACTGCTGTATTTCCATTTTACAGGTGGGAAAACTAAGGCTTGGAGGGATTTGGTAATTTCCCCCACTATTCCAATTTCTCCGATATCCCACTAGTTAAATCAAAAGTGCTTAGACTTAAACCTAGGCAACTGGACTCTGGAACATACATTGCTAACCACTCTTCCATATTGACTCCTCATACTTATCTCCTAAGAATTCCCCATGCTTCAGCCAAAGTGATCCATATATTGTTATAATTTTAGCCTATGTTGTTCTATAAACATATCAGCGCATTCCAACTCCTGTGCCTTTGTCTAAAAGAGGCTGTGTAGCACAAACAGAAATGATGTGTGCTTCAGTCAGAACTAGGTTCAAATTTCAGGCCAGGCCTCTGACTAGACATAGACCTTAGGGAAATTATCAAATCCCTCAGCATCTCCTTTGCTCATCTGAAAGGAAAATGCAGTTAGCCACCCAACTAAAATGGTTGTGATGTGGAAAATATGAGTACCTGACACACTGCGGGTACTCAAATATTAGCAGTTCTGGGATTTCCAATCCCACTCCTCCTCTGAGGTCTCCTCACATAGAACGTCCACTGTGTAACTTGCTTGGCAACCCCAACTGGATGCAATAGCATCTTCTTTAAAATTTCCTGAATATTTTTGTGTCACCTTCTCTATTATAGACTGCCCTATTTTAGCACTGTATAATTTGTCTTATCCCTTCCATCAAACCAGCCTGTAAGCACCACAGGCATGGACCCTTTGTATTTCCTGTAGCAATTGGCACAGTGCATTACACATTGTGAGAGTTAATAAACATCTGCTGAGTAGAGGTGGACTGGATACTGAGTAATGAGGGACCAGAACCACTAAAGTTAATTAGAGGAAGAGAAGAGGGGCGGGGCAGTTTAGATAGAAGATAGGAACTAAAAATAGCTAAGCATCTGTAATTATGTCATGGTAGGCACTACGTGTATATTAGCTCATTCAATCCTTTCGCTAATCCTGTGATGAGCTTCTATCATTATTTTCCAACTGAGGAAAGCAGGAGTCAAGGTGATTTTATTCAAGATCACAACTGAGTTCAACTCACTCTCATTCAATATCCCCAGTGCTGGAATATAATGGATGTTCAATATTTGTTGAATGAATGAAAAAAAAGAACAAATAGAGCTACTTAGCAGCAGGGGTAGGACGAGAATCAACTGGATTTCCAGTTTCATTCTCTGCTATGTAAAGTTGCTGATTTAAAACAGGAAAGGGGAGTACCCTTTATTGAGCAACTACTATATACCTAAACACTTTGGAAGGAGGGACATGGGGTAGAATGTTGAGTTAACTGTACTCCTCATTTCATGGCATTGATTGTATTCGACATTTTATGGAAATTATGTCATTTGATCTTCCTAAAATCTCTTTGAGACAGGTATTTTTTAATCTCCATTTTAACGGATGAAGAAACACCCTCCACGAAATGACTTGCCCCAATTCACACAAGTGGCAGAGTGGGTGGATTCCCACCCAGGGAAGTTTAAATCCGCAGCCTGTGTCCACGTTTTGGGCTTGGACTTGGAACAGACGTTCTATCCCCTGCAGCGTCGGGACCAAGAAAGAAAGCGCTGTGAGAAAGATGACACGGAGCTCCAATACAAAGGATGGGGGTTGCACCTAGCCTGCTGAGCTCACTGAGCAAGTCAAGACTCAAGTTAGACGCAATAAAGCTCTGACGTCCCGGGTGAAGCAAGTTCTCACTGCTCCTGGGAAGCTGCTACTCCAACCAGGGCGAGTGACAGAGGGGGCGGTGGAAGGTAAGGAACCCCCTGAAGCTCGGCAGCTCACACAACGTAGGGGATGCGAACGAGTCCTGAGAGTATGGAAAAAGCAAAGATGGGAGTTTTACAAAAAGACGTGGAAGGGACGAGGAGGGCAGGCAGGACAGGGGTTAGCCCAAAGAACAGGTGCGGTGTTGGGACTGGTTCTGGCATCGGGTACAGGAGGGGCCTGCCGGGCGTAAGGGGCTCCGGTTCTCTCAGGCCACAAGCCCGTCCCCCGACTTTCTCAGGGGGCACTCTGCCTCCCCCTCGGTCCCTTTTGTCGCAGATCCCAAGCTCACCAGGGGCTTGGGCGATGTCCCCGGGTCTCCTGGAGACTGCGCCGCTTCCGCCATCTTGGACCTCCTTCTCCGGGGTCGTTCCCACAGATCTTTGCGGAACCTGCGACGTGGAGGGCGCGGCCGGTCAGTGCGTCACAGCGCTGCGGCCACGTCACTGAAAGGCGCCTAGCAAACAGCTGGCTGCCCCGGCCCTGCGCTGTCCCTGGTGGTCGGGATGGGGCGGAGAAAAGCTCACCTTCGCTAGGGTTTCTCCGGGGCCCTGGGGCCGGCTGTGCGCGCCTGCTGTTTAAAACACTCAACTCGGATTCTCAGTTCACTCCGTCGGTCTCCAGACCGCGGCGTCCTTTTCTAACCTCACAGATCCCACGCACGCATTTCCCGCTCTCCACTGTTGGCTCGGAGACTCCCGCACCCCCGCCTGGCACAGCAGTTACTAGAAAAATCCCGTCGCCCCCTTCCCCCGACAGCCAAGCAAATGGCAGTCTCCCCGCTCGGGAACCGAGAGCCCACCCCTGCCGGGCCCGCTGCTCCCTCCGCGCCTGCCCCTACTGCTGTCCTAAGCTTCTCTCCCCCTTACCCAGCCGCTTCCCGGCTCTGACTTTTAAGAAGCCTCCGCACTGTCTCCACACCGACCCCCCCGGGAAGACTTTGCTCCCGCATCCCCTTTCTGGGTGAGGGGCGCTTCTTTACTGGCCAACCTTGTTCACCCTACTCCAACTTCTAAAGTTGCTACCCGACTTGGGGCAAATACTGAAAATATGATCGAAAAGTGAATAGCTATTGTAAATAGTCAAAGAGAGGGAGAAATAAAAGAGAGAGGGGGGAGTGGGGTGTGGGGAGTGGGAGGGAGGGGAGAGAGAATGAAAGGGGAGGGGAGGGAGAGAGAGTATGAAAGGGGAGGGGAGGGGAGGGAGGGAGGGAGGGAGAGAGAGAGAGAGAGAGAGAATATGAATATATTAATGAAAGGGGAGGGGAGGAGAGGAGAGAGTCTCTGCCCTACCTCATCTTCGGCTTTCTCGGTGTTTCTGGCTCCCGTTTGCCCCGGCCCCAGGCTAAGTGAGGTCTGGTAATAACAGCCATTGTTGACGCAACCATTATGCGGGATACCTGCTTACCCTTTGGGATGTGCAACTATACCAGTTTCCCTCATTTAACAGGGTAGAGGATGGGTGTGAAATAAAATGCTTTATATATTTGGATGGTCAATCCAGGAAAGCACGCCAAGTAGGAAACTTAAAATTGGAAGAATATAGTATGTTGAGGGTCACATTTCCCAAACGAATGGAACTTTTTTTTTTTGGTGACTGTCGTTCTGTTTATAAACACGACTGCTTAATAATTCTCCTTCAGACCAAGCGTATTTCCAGAACTTGTGCAAATACTGATGGAAGTAGAGCTAAAATGTAGGCCAGTAGATACGAAATATTTTAAAATTATTATTAAAGGAGGTTATCATATACAAGCGTCCCAACCCCAGCCTGCTGGGCCTCCCCCCCATCCCCCCCCCCCCCGTTTCCGACAGTTTTATCGGATCGGAAGGTCCCTTCTCACTTCTCCGAGGCTATTGTTAACCTCTTCTATTTCCTTGCCAACATCCAAAATTAGTTCTCTCTCCCTAACCACAAGCTCCAACCTCATCGCTTGGGTTCTTTGTCACTCATTTCAAGACAGCCTTAATGCTTGCTGGTTTAAAAGGAATACAGGCAAGGTCCAGCATTATGTTGCAGCCATCTGCATCTCATACGAGCACCATTTCAAGTAGGGGTGTTCCCCTTCCCATTCAGCTTCCAGAAAAATGCCCCTGGGAAGGCACCAGAAGATGGCCCAAGTCACCTGCCACCCATATGGGAGACCAGGATGGAGTTACTGGCTCCTGTCTTCAGCCTGGCCCAACCCTGGCTGTTGCCAACATTTGGGCAGTGAACCAGTTGATGGAACTCTCTCTCTCTCTCTCTCTCTCTCTGACTTTTAAATAAATAAATCTTTTTTTTTTTAAATAAATTACATTTCCGCTGAGTAAATTGACAACGGGTATGTGGACTTTAGAATTTTAAAAAAAAAAAGAAAAGAGGAAGATAGACCATAAAATCATTGTTGACACAGTGTTCAGGCTACTTTGGCATTATTTCAGGCTATCAATGCCCATCTTCCTCCATTATTAGGGTCCTGGTTGGAGGTGAGATAGTATTCTTTTTTTTAACAATTAACATAATTGGTTGTATAATTTTATTTATTTGAAAGACAGAGTTATAGAGTGAGGTATAGACAGAGAGAGAGGTCTTCCATGCACTGGTTCACTCCCCAGATGGCCACAACAGCAGGAGCTATGCCGATCTGAAGCCAGGAGCCAGGAGCTTCTTCTGGGTCTCCCACGTGGGTGCAGGGGCCCAAGGACGTGGGTCATCTTCTACTGCTTTCCCAGGCCATAGCAGAGAGCTGGATCAGAAGTGGAGCAGCCGGGACTTGAACCGGTGCCCATTTGGGATGCCAGCACTTCAGGCCAGGGCTTTAACCCACTGCACCACAGCGCTGGCCCCAAGATAGTATTCTCTGAAGAAAGAAATCCAGAAAGGAAGATTGTCAATGAATTAGACGGCATAAGGGCAAGCTCCTAAAATAGGAATTATTTCATGTTTTTTATTTGCAAATGTATCTCACAAAATAGCCAGGACAACTCAGTAATATTTAATAGACAAACACTTGTTATCCTCCAAGACTATGAACATCGACAGCACAGAACTTGGGTGCCTTGCCTAAAGTTGCTTAGGAACTTCATCAGTGGTGCAAGTGTGATCGATATTTAAGCCAATAGCTATGGAGAACTTCGTGGGCTTATTTCAGGACAATATAATGTGTAAGTCTATCAAAATAACTGGAAAATATCAAAGCAATACTTTCCTAGAAAAATGACCAAACTGGACTCAAAAAAGGAAGCAGGACATTTCCTTAGAATACATTTGGAATAAAAAATGTTAAATATAAAAGGTAGGATGCAGAACAGTTTTTACCATATGCGACCATCTGGGTGAAAAAGTAATGGGCCTGAATATATATACATGTATTTGACTATGCCTGCACTCTGTCCAGAAGACTACACAGAAGAAGGGGTTCAACTAGTGTTAATTGGTGAGCATATCCAATGGTATCATTGTCCTTAGAGAGAATGCCCAAGGTTGACCCTCACCACAAGAAGAAGGCCATTGATACCATCGGATATGCTCACCAGTTAACACTGGTTGAACCCCCTCTCTCCAATACACAAGCAACCCTTCAGCCCTTTTATAAACTCCACAGATTTCCCACTTTCAATATTTGCTTTTCTTAGCACTGGCCTTTCCCAAACTGCTGTACAGCACTTCTCTGTACAAATACTCCACCCTTCCTGGTGCAAACACAATTTCTCTTCTGTTCACCTCAAAGAATAAGTGACAAACCCCTCCCTAACCTCTCTGTTTGCCTCCACCCCTTTCCCTTCTCCATTCCTGTCCTGTCCTAGCCCTTCCCTTACCCCGTTCTCTAGTCTTTTTCCCACTTCCCTGAGGTTTTTAGAACATTTATGTTCACACCAATTTCCATACTCAGTTATCTTCCTAACCCCTCTACCATGCCCCTCATCCCTGGGCTTTCTTCACTGCTTAGACTCAAAATTGCCTTGGCCGGTGCCGCGGCTCACTAGGCTAATCCTCCGCCTAGCGGCGC